AGAATGAGAACATCCTCATCTCTGAAAGAGTGACCGCTGGCCTGTAAATGAGTGAAAACTGCAGAGTTCTGGCCATTAGATGTAGCTCGTCTGTTGTGTTCTGGCCAGAACTCTGCAGTTTGGTCATGTTTGGTCTGGTCATGTTTGTGTATAAACCTTGGAGTTTTCCCATCAGATGTGTAATTCTACGACTGACTTTAATCTTTGCTGAGCTCCAACTGGGCCAAGGTCCAGAACTTTATCTGAACCAGCAGATAAACCCTCAGAGATCCAGTTTCAGCTTCATGTCAAGTCATTCACACAGAACATTATCTGGGTCCTGCACTGCTTGGGACTGCTCCTGGTTCTGAAGGTCTGGTCAGGTTAAGCAGGCCTCTGGTATAGGTCCAGGTCCAGGTCTTGAAGTTCTGGTCAGTTCCTTGCTCCTGTTCCTCGGTGATTCCTCGGGACAAGCCCAGTGGACCTGACCCGGTCTGTGGATCCRAGCTGGATGATGATCATCTGGGTTTGGCTCAGTTTGGTGATTCTAGTCCGGCTCAGCTCAGCTCAGGAACTAGACCAGGACACTGAGGGAGTCCAACTGTTGGAGTCTGAGGACACCCTCAGMGATGGAGTCCCCCTGCCGGTATCAGGACCGGTACCCGTGTGGAGGCTGGTTGAAGGTAAGAACACAACTCAGACTGGACTCAGTTGGTTTTTAATGTTTTAATTCTAAACAAATGAAAATATGTTTGATTTAAAACTCACATCAGAACCAAGAAAATGAAAAAGTTCTGATGGGTCCACTTTGGTCTCTGTGATCCAGTTTTCATCAGACTTTGTTTCAMTTTATCTTTAATCTGCTGTTGTTGAAAGTTTAAACTGTTTTATTTTAAAGGTTCTGATATTTTATCAGAATTAAAACTTTCAGCTCAAAACATTTAAAACAGGTTCTGTTGACTTGATTTTGGTTAAATTTTCATCAGATGAAACTCAAGAAGTCCAGATTAAACGGTTTCAGACGGTYCAGAAACCAGCTGTGGGGTCAGAGGTCAGGTCTCAGGTTTCATAAAGTCTGGTTCTGTTTGTGTTTCAGATGGATCAGATGGGTCTGATCTGAGCCGACCTCAGTTCCTCTGCAGAAACTCCTCTCTGGTGGTCCGCTTGCCCCTTCTCAGGTTCTCTGACCTTCGACTCAGAGGTCAGTTAGAGCCTAACTTTGAATTATTACAGAAATAAAGCTTTGACTGACGTCAGATTTGAAGGATCAGTGTAAGTTTCTGTAACAATCCTGGTTTGATTCTCACAGATGGGTCAGGTTTTTCCCCTCAGTGGTTCTGAAAGAGGTTTCATAAAAACTGAAGGATCTGAAAGAACAGGTGTGCCTGAAATACTAGACTTCCTCTCATAGAGTCAACTTCCCCATCGCTGAGTCGAACTCTGACACTAAACCCCACCTGCAGACAGACAGGACCACCTGCAGACAGACAGGACCACCTGCAGACAGACAGGACCACCTGCAGACAGACAGGACCACCTGCAGACAGANTCCATCCATCCATCCATCCTTCCATCCATCCATCCATGCATCCATCCATCAGGCTGAACTGTACAGTTTGTTACTTGTCTTGCATCCGTCCATCCATCCATCCATCCATCCATCATCCATCCATCATCCATCCATCCATCAGGCTGAACCGTACAGTTTGTTACTTGTCTTGCAGAGATCCATCAGTGAAGAGAACCATGTGTAAGAAGTGTAGCTCGTTGCTGATCCCAGGTGTTACAGCTACATGCAGACAGCACAGTAAGTCAGCAGGTGTGTTCCCTGCCTGTCAGCAGCCTGTGTGTGCTAACCCTCTGTTTGTTGGACAAGGAAAAGGCAGGAGGACTGGCTTCACTGTGCTGAGGTGTCTGAGCTGTGGTCACTGCAGGACTCTGCTGAATGACCCAGCTCACAGTCTGTGGGTGGACCGGCCCGAGGCCCAGCAGGACCACCAGCAGCAGCAGCAGCAGCAGCAGCCAGGTGAGGTGGCACATACAAGCTGATCTCAAACCGTCCTCAGAGACAAACGGGTGGTGACGTTTCCTCTCTCCCTCAGATCCAAAGCTTTCAGCTAAAAATCAGCCGAAGAAGTGTGAGTCCTGTAAGCTTCCTGTGGCTCCGCCTGCTGCCAGCACCTAACAGCTTCTCTGCTCAGCTTCTTCCATCAAACATTTCCTCTGAACCATCACTGACCTGCTCTCTCTTCATCTGGAAAACTTGGATCTAAATGAGCTGAAGATGACAAGTTGTTTTTGAAAAAGTGAAAGTTTATTGTTTTTAAAGGTGATACAAACAGATCTAATAAAAAGACTTCACTTTGTTTTACATTTTCTTCTTTTCAGCTTTGCCTCCTTTCGGCACTCTGAAGCGCGTCTTCTGGAAATACAGAATGTTTTTGGCAAAAAGCCTCGGGATGTGGCCCATGTAGAGCAGAAGAGCTAAAATCATTCCTACACAAGACAGGAAACAATAATCAGTGTTGTAGAAAGTACCACACAGTGATACGTGAGTAAAAGTACAAGTATCTTACCAAAAACTGACTTTGGTAAAATTTAAAGTCTCCTTTAGGAATATAACTTGAGTAAAAGTGTTAAAGTATGTGATATTTGTTGTAGTTAAGTATTAAAAGTGTTAAAGTATGTGATATTTGTTGTAGTTAAGTATTAAAAGTCAAAGTACTGATTTAAAATGAGCAGTTAGATTTTCTGTAAGGACCTTTATTAGGAGGTGACCTCCCCAAAAACTGCAGAAATGACTG